GCTTCCCCTCTATCCTAAAGGGGATTCAGTGTTTCACGGACAGCACCCTGCTTAGCTACTGGTACTCGGTTTCTGGAGAGGTGTCACTTCAAATCCTGTCCCTTGTAACAGGGTTTGCAGTTCTTTTCTTTCTCTTAGACTATGGTAATTCATGGTGACCACAGAGCAGGGGAAAACACCCTATTGCCTTAGTTTCCCAAGAGCAGGGGTGTGGGGGGGGGAAGCGGGAGAGGGAGGTTTCTTTTCAGTTTCAGCGTCCTGTCCATCCATTAACTGTAATGGTCCATCATTGTCTTTCCCTGGGCTGTACAATGCATCCGATGAAGTGAGCTGTAGCTCACGAAAGCTTATGCTCAAATAAATTGGTTAGTCTCTAAGGTGCCACAAGTCCTCCTTTTCTTTTTGCGAACACAGACTAACACGGCTGTTACTCTGAAACCTGTCGAAATGCTGGGTATGTAGAGTTAGTTTCATGTAAATAACTAGCCTGGAGATGCCTCTCTCTGCCTGATTGCCTCCCCACACTGCTGTGAGATGATGCTGTAGTTGCAACCTACTTATAATTACCGTGTTCTACACATATATACATACATGATCTGTTTACGTATCTCCTAATGACCATCAAGTTCAGAACATTACACACTTTCATAAAAGACCTTACTTGACATATATTTATACACAATAACATTGTATATAACCAGTTGATTCGATTGCTTATTCTTTGGGGTTCAAACACCCTGCTTATCCCTTAGGGTGTTTGGACCCTGATTCTCAAAAATGGCCCTGCACGTTTGCATGATAATGGTCTCCACTGTGGCTTTTCCAACTGCAAAATAATCCCCCACTGCCTTTAGCAATCCGACTTTGCAGGCTGCCACAGAGGAATGACCACTCGCTTCTCAGCTGTCAATGTAGCTCTCATTCTGGTGTCCCTGCACTGGATGGCAGGGGCAAGCTCAGCACACAGATCCAGGAATGTGGCCTTTCTCATCTGAAAGTTCTGTAGCCACTGCTCATCATCCAAACTGCAGTATGATGCAAACTCACCAGTCAGTGCTTGTCTCTTGGACCCAGAACTGGCACTCCACCATTGGCAGCTGCTCTATGAATGCCACCAACAACCTTGAATTGATTTTTCCTATATCCCGCAGCAATCTATCCTCCGTTAAATTGTTGTCCCCCCTCACCCCATTGCTGCAGTTCTTCTTGAGGCTCTCTAAATATTGGAGGATCATTCATCCAGTGCTTGCAAAACCCATGACAATAACGCAGAGCTCTGCAGTCTCCATGCTTCTGTCAAAGATGGTGGACAGAGAGAAGGGCTTCATGGATTAGTGGGATTTTTAAAAAAGGCACGAACATTTGGTATATGGGTTAATTCTGGGAAGGAGAAAGTTGCATGACGGGAAATTTACCTCTAGCTTCCAGCCAACCCTTCATGAATTGTTTCTTCCCCACCATGAATTGCAAAAATTTCCCAAAAGACAGTGCACCGGATGATGGCAAGTTGCACACTGGGATAACAACCCATTGTGCACTGCATTGTGAATCAGCACAAGCATTTCTGGTGAGTACATGCTGTGCCAGTGCAAGGAGCCAGATATGCACGTGCATGAACAATATACTGACTGCAGCGGCTTTATGCCGACATAGCATGAGTTGACAAAAGCTTGTAGTGTAGAAGTGGCCTTAGCTGCATAGAGTGCTCCTAGGCTGCAGTTCAAGATCCCAATGAATGTCTTTTTTTTTTATGTTTAAGAGGAGATGCTTCTGAAACTCCTCTGACATTTAGAGAAAATGGCCCACATACTCCCTCAGTTTTGAAAATAATGTGCTCCTCACTGCTTCACTTTGAAATACATATTTCAACTGGACAAGCATTCTACTTTATGCAAAAGGAGAAAAATCTTTTAAACAAGACAGCCTTGCATCTTTCTCTTTTGAAAGCCTCTTAGTTACACGAAATGCAAAGATTTAGGAGCATGTTAACCAATAATAGTTATTCAATCCAAACTGTAAGGGTAACTTACTATGTGCACTGGAGGCTGAGATGGGATATTGTACTTGCATACATACAGAATATGGGAAACTGTTCTGCTGTTTTATGGAGCAGCAATCATATTTAGTTTAATGTCTTATAAGTCTCATAAAATGACATTAGGAAATTTTTGCTATTTGGCTGGTGAACAATCTACGCAATGGTGTTAACTCATCATAACACTACTACTTTGAATGTTCAAGCCTCATAAAATTTGGGATATAAATATGCCAGATCAACCAAATGAGATCAGAGAGCCTGTTTAGGTCCTTGGTGTAGGTTGGGTACATTTTGTACCTGCTATGCTTAGATTAAAAGTGCCAACTTTAGAGTAATGATGGGCCAGCCTCAAAACATTTGGCAGTTTAGAAAACATCAAAAAGTCTGGTGCTTACCCCAAGCTTATCAGAATCTCTCTTACCTACAAGACTGGGCAGGAAGTTTAAGAAGAACTTAACCTTTCTTGAAGTATTTCTGCCCTTCTGTTTCTAAGCCTGTCCAATACCAAAATGTGCTGAGACACATGTGAAAATGAAAAGTAAGAGTAAAGAGGGAATAGGATATTATGCATTGTGATACAGCATGGCCAGAGGGCAGCAGGAGAGTACTAGAAGGCCTGAAATTGTGGAAAAGCAGCATCACTTGCACCATAACCTCAGCCGTGCGGAACACAATGCCATCCACAGCCTCAGAAACAACTCTGACATCATAGTCAAAAAGGCTGACAAAGGAGGTGCTGTTGTCATCATGAATAGGTCGGAATATGAACAAGAGGCTGCTCAGCAGCTCTCCAACACACTTTCTACAAGCCATTACCCTCTGATCCCACGAGGGTTACCAAAAGAAACTACACCATCTGCTCAAGAAACTCCCTGAAAAAGCAAAAGAACAAATCCGCACAGACTCACCCCTGGAACCCCGACCTGGAGTATTCTATCTGCTACCCAAGATCCATAAACCTGGAATCCTGGGCGCCCCATCATCTCAGGCATTGGCACTCTGACAGCAGGATTGTCTGGCTATGTAGACTCCCTCCTCAGGCCCCACGCTACCAGCACTCCCAGCTACCTTCGAGACACCACTGACTTCCTGAGGAAACTACAATCCATCGGTGATCTTCCTGATAACACCATCCTGGCCAGTATGGATGTAGAAGCCCTCTACACCAACGTTCCACACAAATATGGACTACAAGCCATCAGGAACACTATCCCTGATAATGTCACGGCAAACCTGGTGGCTGAACTTTGTGACTTTGTCCTTACCCATAACTATTTCACATTTGGGGATAATGTATACCTTCAAATCAGCGGCACTGCTATTTTTTATTTCTTATTCCCTGTAGAGGGAAGAAAGTTTGCTATAGATAATTAAAGCACCTGAAGCCAATTAGAGCACCTGAAGCCAGTCACATGATAAAACCCCCTTGCTTCAATCAGACCAGCAGGAGCAGGGGTAGGGGCAGAGAATTGTTTGAAGGAGTTGGAGCAGAGCAGAGCAGAGCAGAGTTTGGAGAAGTGCTATGGCTGGCTAGAAGACTAAGACCTAGGTAAGGAGACACCTGGCTTGTGCAGAAAGAGAGGGTAGGAAGCCCCACAAGCTGAAGAACAGGAGAGGGAAGTAGCCCAGGGGAAGGAAGCATTAGTTCAAGTGGTTTACCACTATCCCTAGGGCACCTGGGCTGGGACCCGGAGTAGAGAGCAGGCCCAGGTCCTCCCTCTCCACTACCCTTCTCTGGGTTACTAGTGGGACAGTAGACACCCTAGTTCTGGGGCAGGAAACTGCACCCTGAACACCTCCCCCCCGCCCCAAGAAGAGGAAGTGTGGGACCCATCATAATTGTACCGGCAATTTGCCACATGTATGTTTGGTGTTAAATTTAATTTTTGTGTGAAAATTTAAGATGGGCCAGATCTGGTGCTAGTGTAAATCTGAGTAGGTTTACTGAAACCAGTGGAGCTATGCCAATTTACATCTGTGGAGATTTATCTAGGAATCTGTCTGTTTATCTGACTGTTCATCCCTGTTTGACTCATAGCCTTCTTTTGACACATTCAGAACTCCCATTGATATCAGTTGCCTTCTGGATAAAAGTCAATAAGTGCATGCATTTTAATTAATAGTTCTCCTTTGATTCCTTTAGTGAACAAATGTATTTTGCTGGTTTACTTATGATAATTCTGTATGATAACAAATAAGTTAAAAAGAATGGAAGTACCCCATAACATCAAAGGGGTCATAAGCCTGCAGTTGGGGGTGCATGTCTTTAGTTCAACAACTCTAGCCTCCTCCAACTGAACTCCTAAAGTCAGTTCACACTTCCACCTTTTCCCTGCTCATTGCTGGCACTGACCCTGAAAGCAGGAGTTCTAGATTACTGTACCATCTGGAAAAGGCATGGAGAACAAGCAGTGTGAGAAGGAACAGAAGGAAATGAGGACTAAGATGTAGACAGGGGTATTGTTGAGAAGTGCCATGAAGATGTGAGATTTAACTCTTTGTTGCAAAAAAGTGAGGAGAAGCCATAGATTCAAAAGGGGGTGGGGGTGCAACCTGATTACAATGGCAGGAAAGGAACAAGATTTTGGGAGCAGCATTTTGAATAGACTGAAGGGGACAGATTTCAGAGTGCGGTTTGCTGATGAGAACTCACCAATGCCTAGACTAGGGATTTAGCTGTAGGCAGACAAGTTTGGGGAGAAGTTATCATCTGAAAAATATTAAAGAAAAACTAAAATAATGCATCACTGGTCCATAGCAATAGCAGAAATTTGCCAACAAGATAGTAATCAAACAAATGCTAAAATTACATGAAACCAAATCTCTCAATCCACCCCAACACCCATAATTGCAGTCTGAAAAAGGAGATAAACCTCTTTAGAGTGTAGTAAGAGTGGGATAAAACAATACATTTCAAACAAAGATTACAAGCATGTTTTCCACGGAAAACAAATGTGTATGTGTGTATGAAAAACAGTCTATAGGGCTACAGAGGCTACAGCACTGAACTATTCAGAATGTAGGTTAGGGTGACCAGATAACAAGTGTGAAAAATTGGGACGGGGGTGGGAGGTAATAGGTGCCTATATAAGAAAAAGCCCCCCAGATCAGGACTGTCCCTTTAAAATCGGGACATCTTGTCATCCTAATATAGGTGTATAGCTTCCCAGGGCAGTAGTCTCCAAAGTGGGGTGCGCAAGACCATCCCTGGGGGTATGCGGCAGGAGGAGCGCCGTCAGCACGGTGGCAACAGCGCTCCTGGACCTTTGATTCTTCGGCGGCATGCCGGCGGCAGCTCGGCTCTCCCCGCTCCGTCTTCGGCAGCATGCCGGCGGCAGCTCGGCTCTACCCGCTCCGTCTTCGGCGGCAGCTCTTCTTCTTCTTCTTCTTTTTTTTGCTTCCCTAGACCTGGGGGTGCGTGATCCAAAAAGCTTGGTGACCACTGTCCTAGGGGACTGAGAAGAGAAAAAGTCTACAGAAAGACTTCTTCAAAATACATTGTGGTGTTTTCAGTTCTGCAGCAAATTATTTGCAATTTCCTGATGTTTTTGGACCCCAGTTTTCAAACTTGTGCAATCACATTAGATGCCCAAATCCTGCATTTGGAGGGTTAAATCAATATTTGGACCTGTGATAAGATGTAAAGACACTCTGGCTCCATGGGTTCCTGCCAGTCACATTGCTGGGCAAGGTTCTAAAAGGAAAGGGGAAACTGGTAGATAAGAGGAAGGTATGTCCTCTTTCTTCCCAGCTGGCTGAAACTGGAAAAGCCTCAAGTGGTTTTATTAATTTGTACTCTGAGCTGACTTGTTCTGGTTTTGTGTTTTTTGGAAATGAAGGAAGCCCTGAGGAAAGGGATGAGAAATGACCTGTAACAGACACTTGTACTTTTCCTTCCTCGCTGGTGAGTCTGTAGACTAGCTTACAAGGCCCAAATCCTGAAATTGGCTGCCTACTCATGTAAAACCCTGGTAACGTCACTGGGCGTGGTGAGAGCTTACATAGTTCCTTCTGCATGGAACTGAGTGGAGGATATGGGGGCATAGTGTCTAAAAAGGTTATCTGGGAACTTAAGTGCCCATTTTGAGCAGTCGCTTGTATGACTTGAGCACTTAGCTTTTATTTGCCCAGGTTTTCAAATTGAGCCCTTTAATTGTTTTTGATTGTACTTAATGAAAATATTTAGACCTTACAATTTCTTCTTGGGCATACTTTTTTTCAGTCTCTTGAACAGATTTTAAAATATTGAAGAAAAAAATAATGGCAGTTGGTTTCTAGATACTGCTTTTATTGCATATTATTTCTAATGTTAGAATTAGAAATGGGCAAACTTGTTTGGGGTAAAATAAAAATTGACCTGAGCCTTCATCTCAAACTCAGCCTTTCTGGATTTTCAGAAAGTTTGGATTCTTATTATTATTATTTATTTTTTTTATTATCCACAAGTACTGGCTCTTTCTTTTTCCTGGATGAAATAGGGTTGCCAGATGTCCAGTTTTCAATGGGAATACCCACTCCAAAAGGGACCCTGGCAGTTATGGTCAGCACTGCTGACTGAGCTGTTAAAAGTCCAGTTGGTGGTGCAGGCAGGCTCCCTATTCGGCTCCGCACAGCTCATGGAAACAACATGTCCCTTCCTACATGGCTCTGCAGCTCCCATTGGCCAGGAACCCTGGCCAAAGGGAGCTACGGGGGCAGTGCCTGTGGGTGGGGGCAGTGCGCAGAGCCAGAGGGACATGCTGGCCTTCCCAGGAGCCACCTGAGGTAAACCGAAGCCTGCACCCCTCAACCCCTCTTGCATCCCAAAGCCCTCATCCCTGGCTCTACCCCAAATCCCACCCCCCCCAGCCAGAGCCCTCACTCCCCCCACCCCCCGAACTCCAACCCTCTGCCCCAGCTCGGCCCCCTCCTGCACCCAAACATCTCATCCCCATCCCCACCCCAGAGCCCGCACCCCAGCTGGAGCCCTCCCCACCTAACTCTAAACCCCTCAGCTGCAGCCCAGAGCCCCCTCCTGCATCCCAAAACCCTTATCCCAGGCCCCATCCCAGAGCCCACACTCCCAGCCAGGGCCTTCACCCCTTCCCACATCCCAACCCCCTGCAGCATCCAGGAGCCCCTTCCCGCACCCCAATCCCCAGTGAAAATGAGTGAGTGAGGGAGAGCGACAGAGGGATGGGGGATGGAGTGAGCGGGGTTGGAGCCTCAGAGAAGGAGTGGGGAAGGGGTAGGGCGGGGCAAGTGTGTTTGGTTTTCTACGATTAGAAAGTTGGCAACCCTAGGATGAAACCGAAGAGAGATGGACGGGAGGAGTTGTTCTCATGGTATTTCCAGCCCAGCTGGAAGAAGGAAAGACCAAAAATCCTAATTCCAGACTGTGATGAATTCTATCCAAGCCACCACATTTAAATTCAGTGACACTGCATGAGTGTGAAGAAAGAATATAGCCCTTTTTATGCAATTAAGAGGTTTGGATAAGGTTTGAATAAGCATCCAAAGTTCTGGGTGATTATTCATTCAGATTCTTTAAACCTCTTTTGGTTCACCAATCACAGGAAAGAATCACAAAAGTGAATTACACTAAACCAAATCTAGGCCACTTTATTTCTGAATGAGTGTGTCTGCTGAAGGATTTAATGCAGTTTAACTAATCCACTTTAAATTCACCCCTTTAGTTAATTTGGAATAACTCTCCTGAGTGTCCCCATGTAGACAAGCCCTTGTAAACTGGCGAACAATGTTGCATTTATTGCCACTTGCACAAGCTGGGTAAGCTGCCTATTAATTCTCTACCGTTTCTCACTTAGCAGCATTCTCTTCCTATAAACATAAAAGAATTAAAGATAGTATACAAAATAAAGCTTAGTTTTTTTATCGTCAGATAAATCCTTTGCATACCGTATAATACACAAACTGGAGAAAAATAATTTTGTTTAGCCACTGTGACTTCTAAAAAAGATATTTAATTTACAATAACAAAATGCTTTCATGGGACAATAAATTCCACTAGAGCTGGTGAAAAACAAAATTGAAGAAAAGTGGTGTTTTTTTCAAAAGAAAAATTTTTACAGAAATGTTTTTGTTTCTTTCGGTTTTCTAATTTATTAATTTTAACAAAAATATTAAAAACCAATTTATTTCTGAAAGCTGAAACCTTTTCTGTTTTCAACACACGAAAATCTTTTGGTGTTCAGTTTTTCTTTGAAAATGCAGAAAATTTCCACACAATATGAACAAATTTGAATGTTTCAAAATTTTCATGGAAAATACTTCCTAGTTTCCAACCAGCTCTATATTCCTGTGCCAGAAGATGAGGCCATTTTGAGTTCTGCTGAGATCAGGCGACGATAAGACAAAGCTCCATGTTGCATAAGGTGGAGTATCCCATTTTAAAAGTGAATGCTCTTCCTATTTCATGCAAGGTAGAGGAATTTAGAGGTGGAGGGTCTGACTCTCTGCTGCTCTATACTTTGTATAGTCATTTACACCAGTGAAAACTGGGTGTAAAATTATACTAAATAAGAATGGTATCTTACATCTATTTTGTGCTTGTATAAAAGACTACCCAATGTGCAGGGCAATGGGGACCAGGCCAGTCATTTGTAATTTACAACAATACACAACAGAAGTGAAATGTTAATTCTTCCTTTTGTTGGTGGAGGCTAACAAATATTTTATTTAAAAAAAATGATTATTTGCAGTTTTGACACACAAATAATACTGAAATGGACTTTTTAAGATCTCTAAAATACAAACATCAAACGCAAGCCTCTATTAACAGCTTTGATCCATTATGCTTTAGTTATGTCAGCTTAAAGTTGATATCCTGTAAATGGAGGGAGGATGGATGATCATGATGTTAAAGTGCTGGGACCCAAATTCTGTGGTCTGGCTGAGTTGCGCTCAGTCTAGGAGTGCACAGGGAGGCAAAGATAGCTTTATACCATCTTTAAATTCCTCTGATATTAAGGCCATCTGGAAACTAATCTTGCCACCAGTGTAAGCCATAGTCAGGCTGCTTTAACATATGTCCAACTGCCAATGCACCCAAAGGGCTGCTTTGTTAACATGAGCATAATGGTGCCTTGACTATGTCTTCTGTTCCCTGGCATCCTCTACACCAGATGCTGCAAAGGACATGACTATACACAACTCAGGGATTCACCTTAAGCAGAAGGAATCCTGAGAGGGCGAGATGTAGAGGAGCAGATAGAGTGGACACCAGGTCCGGGCCTAAGACCGGAGGACTTCTGGATTCTATTCCTCACTCTGAAGCAGACTCCCTGTATTGCCTTGGGTGAGTCACAGACTCCCTGAGCCTTTGTTCCCCATCTGTAATATAGGGATGATATTTACTTTCCTCACCACATTGCTCTGAGGCTTAATTCATTAATGCTTGTTGAGCTTTGAGAGTCTCAGATGGAAGTTAGCACAGAAGTCACTACTGGGTTCCTACAGACCTCATTATTGCCATGATCTGTGGTCTGATCACACACCTTACAATCCTGTCTGTGAGCACCATCCGTTTTATTGTTGGCATTTACTATTTGATCAATTTTCTCTTTTCCCATTTTATTGTTTACAAATGGATCAAAAAGCAGCATGAATCATCTGAACGAGTGGTGAAAAGTTATTCTTTTGGCAAAACTCTGCCTGCTGTCATTTTTTATAGTTAAGACTTTTGCCCAAAGCCTTGAATGTCTCACCCTGACACCAGCCTGCAGTAATTAATCACTAAATAGTGATTGAGGCAGTGGACCCCAAAAATTATCTTCATACTATACCATATGCTGGAGCCAGCTGCAGCTAGTATTTACAGAGAAGCAGCACAGAGGAAAAGACTCTGTCTGACAGTTCCCTGCTGTGAAGTCCAAGCACAGTAAACCTCTAACAAAGGTCCATAGACAGAATGTTTGCTTGTATTGACCTTCATTACCTGAGACTGTTTGGAAGGCAAAATGTCAATGGTAATGTACTGGAATTTTAAACATTATCCTATTTTAATGAATATTTCCAGCCTCTCACATACATACAAAACTGTGGATTAGTGTAGTGAAATTTAATAATTTAACAATAACTGCAGATGAGTTTTGCTTAATTTCAACACCACTCCCCCTGAGCATCTTAGTTGGATATTAAGAACACTCTCCACCCATCCGAGTTTCATATTCTATTGAAGCCCTGGGAAAATGTCACTTATGGACTGTCACTGCGCACAGCAGCAGGGGTCCATGTGATAGATACAATAGGCCCAATTCATCCCTGCACCTGCGTTAGGGCCAGCACTGGGGCAGAGGAGAGGTGGTTTGCCCTGATTCCAGAGCTACCAGGGGCCAGTTCGCAAGTTGCGTCCCAGCTGCCATTGTTCCTATGGGCCTTCCATAGACAGGGGACAGAGCCACCCCAAACGCACCTCCGGACTCCTTCGATACATTCCCTCCCTCCTGCAACCCAC